TCGAAAAAATGAGCTAAAATCTCTCATAAATGAACCGAGTGTACAGTGTTGACTGTATTTGCCTCCTCATGACCGATGATCTACCTCCTCTTCTTCACCTGACATTATGCAAAACTGCACCTCCAGGATCTATAAACCTAAAAATAGGGTTACTGAACTGATATTTTTATCATTACAATCCACTTTTTGGATTTCTCTAGCGAGGGAATGGCGTTCCATGCTGTGTTCACGTCACTGTGAAAACACTCACACATCATTATCACACACACACACACACACACACACACACACAGGTACTAAAGCTCAATATCTGTGAGAACATTTACACCGACGACAGTAGGATCTACATGCCTAAAACTAAAATCCTGCTCTTAATACTACCTGTAACTGAGCAGCAAATCACACAGAGGACTAAAAATGCCCTCACAATCCTTAATATCCTCACAGGAACAGTGAGCCACGCTGTCAGGCACTGGTGCTCGCAAGTACAGCCAGCACACACACACACACACACACACACACACACACACACACACACACACGGTGCTCCAGTCATGACAAGCTAAAAATATCCGTTATTACTGAGAATCACTATTGCCAGTAAAACGGCTTTCTGCAATGCCAGAGATCCAGATTGTGACGCTCGGTTGGGCCCAGAAACACTCAGTCACAACGTATGAATACAAAAGAGGACGAGACATGTCGGGGAAACGTTTACCACCGTAACTATCTGCAAGTATTTGTTGGTTTTAGGAATTGAAAACATGTAAAGTGCAGCGAGCATGAAGGAAAGTGTTGTTTTTATTCCAATTTGCATGTGTTGTTGTTGTCGGTTATCTGGATTACATTTAATTAAGTAGAAACCACCGATGACGAGCTTTTGCGAGGGATAATTATTAGAAAGCTGCAAATTAATACAGTTTGCTTTGGACTTTTAGATTGGCTGCTCTATTCTGCATTTAAAAAACAGATTCAGTCTTAAATCCCTCAATAAGAGTAAATGTTTCCACTGGAACAGGAATGCAGCTTCATGTGGACGCTTATCATCAGAACACTGACATGGGATTTAAGGAACTGAAGATGTCTTGTTTCAACTGTGATTTTAAAAAAGATGTTCGAGCTGCAAGATTTTCTGCAGGATGAGTCAGTCAGTCAGTCTTCAACCCAAAGACAGCCAAATGTCCTAAATCATGGAGACAAGGCAGAGTCATAAAACTCCCAGACACCACTCTCATTCTCTGATACAGAACCCCAGATAGCTGGCACAATGGCAGCACCACTGACTGTGCATAGCAACTTTTTCTTTCCTGGCTTTAATCCACAGCTACACTGAGAGATCCAAGTGCATTGTGATGTAAATTTGCCCCCCACCACAAGAGGCAGATGTGGAATATATTTCACAAATAGTGCATTGCTCTGTTTGAAGGAAAAACCTTAATTTCTAATTTTTTTTAAATTTGGGAGACAAGACATGAACAAAACAATCCAGAGAACACGATACTGTGGAATTATCCTCGTTTGTTCCAGGGAAGGCCCAAAGAGTCCTCACTGCTCTACCGTGCACTTTAACCACTGTGAAAGATTAGTGTTTTCACGCAGACTTCAAAGGCAGACACGTCCAACACAATGTGTGTAATTCAGATACAAAATGTGCGTTCATGAGATCACTCCCTCTGTCAAGTGAGGTTTTCTCATACTCAGTATCCGTCAGAACAAGGACCACTGTGGGTGAAACTTCAAGTTTAAAAGTTAAGCTAAGGTCATAATTTGATCATATTTGATTGGAAACTACGGAAGCCGAGAGCGGTCGTTTTTCGCTACTGTTCTTTCTTCGCTTTTTTCTCGAGATAATGAGTTAATTTTCTTGTTGTCTCGGGATAACAAGAATCGTTTTCTCGTGAAAACGAGATAATTGGTGTTTGTGTTTGCCCGCTCGTGCCCGGTCCAGGATGGAATCCCAGGTGTGTGGGACCTCCCACACACCTGGGANAAAATGTTCATGGTTCATTGTGATGCAGACTGATCACACCGACTAATTCTGGGGTTCAGACGCTCAGTGGTGCAGCACTAAAGAAACAAGACGAAAACGAGGCATTAGTGGCATAATTTTACCCTGAAATAAATGATTTAAAAAAGAAAACAGCATGTAAAATGCAGAAACAATCTGTCAGCTTTGGCATGTTGACGGTAGAGTTGAGGTCTGTGTGTCTGAAATGTGATGATTGTTTTACACTCCAAGCACAGGAACAAACAGATCAATTAGATTTTATTTTCACAAATGAACTCAGACATTTAAGCCTAAAACCTGCGTTTACACCCCCAACTAATAAATGAGGCTTCCCATTGTTTGGGCCGTCATTTCCTATGCTGCAGTTCCTTTGTATGCGGTGTGGCGGCTGTTTACTGCTCACCGCTGCTGCTACACTCTCCGTGGCAGAACTGCAGTCGTCGAGCTGCTGCCCAGCTGTGAGCTGTGAGAGGTCTTTGAAGTCCCCTGCTGAGGTTGTGCTCTTTTCTGTCTTATTCCTACTCTCCCTCTCTCCACAGGCCTCCTCCTGATAATGCTGTCACTATTTGCAGCATCAAGCAGCCCCAGCCAGGATGACGGATGTGCAGGAGCATGACTGTTGTCAAAGACTTGGTGGATGTGTGACAGAGGCGGCGTAATCCCTGCGGGGATGTACTTTATATGGAAGGAGTTGTAGCTCTGTGTTAGCACTGTCGCCTCGCAGTCACATGAATGTGACTTTGATTTTTGTTTTTTTCCTTGTTTTTGTTTGCGTTTCCAGGCTCCGTCTAAAGTAAGCTGGATTAGAGACTCGAAACTGAGCGCTGAAATTAACATAACTGATTCTCTCAGTGTGTCTGACCTGTGAAGGACTCATCATCTCTCCCAGGTGTTTGCGTGCCCTCTGCCGTGCACCGGGTGGCCCTCTGCTGCAGCCAAAGTCACTAAATCAATGAACTGTAGCTGCTGCAGTCGCTGCTTTCACACCCGAACACATACTTTCAATGCCAGTTCTTTTTTTTTTTCACAGGATTGATTAAATGTAACATTATGTACCGAGGGAGCTGAAGTGATTAGACCGTGCTAAGAAAGCTGCTTTGCTGAGATATCAACTTTGACACTGATAGCAGTGCTGTGTGCATACAAGGGAGAGAAAG